GAGAGAGAGAGAGAGAGAGAGAGAGAGAGAGAGAGAGAGAATTATTTAATCCATTCACACTTGTCACTCTATTTCCATCATGTTCTTACATTTGAACATTCAGGCAACTTTCCCCTTTCTGATTTTCATCCTTTTACTCTTTCAGCTTATTTGTTTGTGTGGCCTCTTCATCATGCCCATACTTGACTTTCTTGTCTAGTACTAAAATGTCCACATCTCTGTTGCCCCATCTTCAGTCTAAATCCCTGTAATAATTCATATGCAATATGTGCTTTAAATCCAGTCATTATTCCCATTGGGTAACTATTCCTAACATTTGGTGTCTACTTATCGGTTTACCATGTCTGTATCTCTACTGGGCATTCCAAAGACTTTTCCATCCATGTATCACATCCTGGGCTCTCTATTTTTGCCTACACCTGCTCGTTTTCATATCCGTTTATTCAGCCTTTGTACTTGGAACCACAAAGGAATTCAGGTCAAAGTCAAGGGCTTCATCCTAGATTTACTGCAATGCAGATAACCAGAAGTCTCCAGGATATTACTTATCTTGCATTCTTTCGTCAAGATGGGCATCAATGTCCTTAATTTCGCTGAAGCCAATAATCTGGAGGTTTTGCCTTCAGTACGAGTTCTACTATTTGGTAAAGACTTATTTATTATTTTGATTTCACGTGTGTAAGTGTTTTCCTTCTGTATATGTCTGTGCTCCATATGTGCATGGAGCTTGTGGAAGACAAGAGAAGGCGTTAGGTCCTCAGGAACTGGAATTATATATAGGGCGTGACGAGCCTGCTGATGTGGGTGCTAGAAAGCAAACTGGGGTCCTCAGGAAGAACCTTCAGTGTTCTTCACTGCTGAGCCACCTCTTTAGTCCTCAGCCCTATTTTAATTCACACTGTATACAATAATATAATTTTAAAATACAAATCTAATTTTTCCTAAGTTTGCTTAAAACCCTCAGTTATTTAGAACAGATTTTTAAACTTCAGATCCCAGTTTATCAGTAGACCAGCAAAAAATAAAATAAAATAAAATAAAATAAATCCTTCAGGTTATTGTGACCATCATGTATTGTTAGATAGGCTTGAACAATATAAAGCATAATGTAGAGACAAGTTCTGTCCTTCAAAGCATCATTCAAGCTATACAGATATTTCTGAGTGTGCCTACCTATGGTAGTAGGGATACAAAATTGCAATGATTGTAAGTAATAATCAAAAATGTTATTTATCATATCTAAACATGCATGTCAATCCATGCAGTTCACTGTCCTAGATTCACTTTCCACTGCTCCCCACAGTTGCCAAGCTATTGATAAAGCTGCAGTTCTCCGCATGTGAAAATGTTTCACTTTTATATGCAGTGGTTCTACAGCCTTGTATACTGTCCTCTGGAGTCTATCTCTTAAGCTCTTTCTCATCACTAACCTTCATCTCACATGTTCTGTATGTGGTGAAGTCTCCAAATACCCACCCCATTCCCAACCTTCAAGCAAAGCTAATGATCTACTTTTCCTTTATGAGAACCCAGTACCTTGGATACTGAAACTACATGTTAGAGAGGATGAAAGTCCTTATGCACAAGCACGATGCATTTTGATTGAGTTTTAAAGTGCAGTAGAGTGCCTAGCATGCACTAGACTATGCCCCATAGAGGGACAGGATGCATAAATATTTCTGAATTACAGCATGTGTCACTGTTCTGACTCCATGCTCTTTGTTGCTATCAGATACTTTCTGGTCAAGTTGAAATGAATTGAATTTTATTAAAGTTTCAGAGTCAGACATTTAGCTCATGTGTACATGTACACCATAAAAGAAGATTGCATGTCTTGATAGAGAAGGTTGATAGATTAGCATGCCCGAAAGACTGATGTAAGGACATGGCTCTCTAGCCTATTAAATATAATGCACCAGGCAGTTTATCTATTACTGTCATCTTCAAAGATAATTCAGAAACATTACTATACTCAGCAGTTTAAAAAACAGAACGGGGAATCCAGGGTTTTTCCTGTCATAACCAAAGTATTCTCTGTCCTAGGCTGGCATCAAAATGATCATCCACCTTGCCTGAGTGACACTGAAGGACCTTACTTACTGGGCCTTGGGCCTCCCCTCCCCCCATTTTAATGCCAACAATCATTTCTCCTAAAATTGAGGCTGGGAAGTTATCAGGGAGTTCTCATTAAGCCAGAGAAGAGAAATATGCAATTAAGATGAAAATAGTTTCTTGGGAAAGTGGAAATCCTTGGTAAATAAAATGTTAACTCTAGAGGTATCCCTATAGTTACAGGTTCTCATCAGAGGATGACATCAACTCTCTAAGAAACTCCACATGGAAATGTTTAGTAAATCAAACTACATCACTCACTGGAACCTCACCTGAGATAGTGGGGAAAGGTAAGAATTAATAGTAACAGTGAATAGCATTTGAAACCCTATATATATACACATATGCACACACATATGTGTATGTATATATACATATATATGCACATACATATTCTATACAAATTCCTATAAAATATATTAGCATAAAAATTGATTAAAAACAAAAAACAATTGAATTCCTGGACATATAGACACAATCATAGTGTGAACATGTAATACAAAATGAGCCTTTAGAAGTGTCAGAGGAGTAGCTAAGAACGTTTCATTTGGAAATTGGAAAAAAAAATTGCAGCAAAAATAAAGCCTCAAGGATTGACTATGTAAATGTTTGTACTCCTAGAATACAGTTGAACCAGTAAGGCTGTGGCTTTGAGGTAAACTTGAGCCATATAGTATGACCCTGTCTCAACAAACACCTCAAGCAAGAAAGCATATATATATATATATATATCACTATAGATCATTCTACTTATTATATCAGATATGGAAAAATCAAAACTAAAAGAAATGAGAAGTTAATTATTTTTCATTTTTTTGTATTGTTGAGATGTGTAAATTCATCACTTTGGGAGTTATAATTGGTGATATGCTTAAAGACTTAGTAATAATGATATCCAAGATATCTCTTTGTGACAGAAGGAACAATTTGAAGCATTTTACAATTATAAATATGAAATTAGGAGCAGGAAAGTTGGCTCAGCCATTAAGAGAACTGGTTCAATTCCCAGCAGCTGCATGGCATCTCACAACCAGGCATAACTCCTGTGCCAGGGGATACACCTCTTTCTTCTGGTCTCTGAGGGTACTGCACGAATGTGGTGCACATACACACATGCAGGCAAAATATCTGTGTGTGTGTGTGTGTGTGTGTGTGTGTGTGTGTGTGTGTAACATTGTTAAAATCTTGACACAAGACACAACAAAGTAAAAATAAACAGGGAAGTTGTCCTAGAACAGTGCTAGGTATAAAAGTGATATATAGAAACTAGATGCTTAATTCTATATTGTATATAAGAAATACATATATTTTATGTATGCCCAAAATATGAAGCATGGATTTTATTAACATTACATGATTTTCTTTGTGCAGAGAGATTTCAAATAATGCTTCCTTTCTGTATGTTTTTCTTTATTTACTTTGTGTCTTTTTACATCTTAAACATTGCAGATTGAGTAGGAATCAATTAAAATTTTAAACAGACAGAAAGCACAAATGACTGCTATAGCCTAGGAACAATTAATAGTCTGAATTTGTGGAGTTCCTGGTATTGGTGCTGTAATCAATGTTTAAAATAAAACACGTATTTTGTCTACACAGATTGTGAAAAGGCATCCAAGTCACATATGTGGATTTATGTGTTGATGGGGAACATGCTTCGTGGGATAGGGGAAACACCAATAGTGCCCCTGGGAGTTTCCTATATTGATGACTTTGCACCAGAAGGGCATTCTTCTGTGTATTTAGGTAATGTACAGAACATAAGAAGTTCATTCCTTAATTTCCCTAGGTCTAACTTTGAAATGGTCACATACTAAGTTAATGTTTTCATTTCTTTTCTCTTCCTCTAAAAGAGCAGCCAGTGCTCTTCACCATTGATCTGTCTTTCCAGTTCCCTAAATAAATCCATATCCCTAAAAAATATTTGGAGAAAAGCATTGTGTAACATTAGATTTTAAAACCTTCTGTATGAAAAAAACAAAAACAAAAACAAAAACAAAACCATAAGTTCAAGGTGGGAAAAATCCCAGTATGGAGACAGGAGGTGGGCAAAAGTCCCTTCCCTAGCTAAGGAGTGATTGCATTTGATAGGTACAGGAAGAGTAAAAGTTTTCTTTAAGGCTGTGGCCTGAGATGGATTGACCATGGTCTGATGAAGGCCCCACCCATGAACATACAGGGGCACAAGCTATATTTGATGAAATTTACAAAAGGAAAAGGTACAAATTTGCGTGGGTAAGGAAGTGGGGATGTCACTGGCCTGAGTAGAAGCCGTGAACATGATCAAACATTTTTGGGTGGAAAAAAACATCACTGTATGTACTTGGATTCTGATTTTATGATTTGGAAATGTTTGCAGGTCTTCTGAATACAGTAGCAATGGTTGGTCCAGTCCTTGGTTTTCTCATGTCATCTGTGTTTGCTCAGATGTATGTTGACATTGGATACGTAGACCTGAGTAAGTAGAATCAATAAGCAGACCAAAAGAGTGTCTTTCAAATACCAGACACCATACTTCAAGTAACTGTTTAACTTTTTCAATAGTTCCTCGATTTTATGTGTTAGAAACCGTAAGTAGAGAGGATATATTCATATTTAAAACAAAGTTTACCCCTTGCCTGTGCCAAGCTTCCGCAAGTCCTATAAAATGGGACATTTGGAACAATCCTGTTTTAGACAACTAGATCCAAAACAAACTGGATGCAGAGTCAAATCAGGTGCACTTTTATTTGGCTGTAGATTGGGTTTAGAAAAATAGGAATTACCGATTAAAGTTTCAGGAAGATGCTGTTTGGTTGGGGTTTGGCAGATGTTTGGAGGGCATTCAGCATCTCCATCATGTGTCTTTGCTCTCTCTGGTCCTGACATAGGATTAGGCAAATGGTCCCCTTCAATTAGAGGATGAAGGAATGCACACTATGTAATCCCTATGGCCATTCTCTCTCCTCAGTGCAAGCTTTCCTTCATAACTCAGAGAAACTGGCCAAAGCATAGAAAATCTCAACTTAAAACCCTCAGTCTAATAAATATCACTCTCCTTCACATCTCTCATCTTTCCACCTAAAAGTTGATCCACCCTGGTATTTGATTTCTTCACCCGGCATCTTCCAGATCTTGTTCCATAATCTTTCACTAGATTCCTCCCTGGCTATCTTCAACCTTCTACCTCCTCTCTGTCTTTATCACAAAATGCTCTCCATTCTACACAGTCTTTCACATCTATGTTGATTTTATGTCCTCAAACAACTTTGAAGTTGGTTTTCTGTTTAACTTTCTATTCATGGTCAAGATCTTGAAAAAGAAAAATCTGATTTTGGAAGACTTCTCCCTTCTCTCCCCGCCCTCAGCCACTTCTCAGTTGTAGTCTGATTTCTCTGGCTCATGAGACAGAATCAACTAACATTTTTTCACTTTTTCTATTTTACATGTCTAAATCAACACCTAAATTTCAACCTGGAAAATACTGTGCTCAAAACCCACTCTTAAATCTTTTATTGTTTCCGTTAGTGCATCTCTTTATGAGTATCTTAACCTTAATTGGTTATTCACTGAATCATTACATAGTCTTCCTTCCTCTTGACCTGATTCCAGTGTTGGCCATTCTCATTCACCACACTTCCAGAATAATTCTTCTATGCAAATCTGGTCCATGTGTAGACCTATAGTGATTTCAGACCAGACATTGGCACAACATCCCAGCTCTTCAGAACTGGACACATAGTTCTTTGTGATCATATTTATCTTTATACTTGAACTCTGTTTCTTCTTCCACACTCTTCTCTCATTGGTACTCTTTGCAATAACCACGACTACTGTTTATGGGACTCTCAAAAGACCTCTCATCTCATACTCCTGAATCTTCCAGTGGAAAGTTCTGATCCACTTTCCATTAGTGTAGTCCTGAGAGTCTCATCCAGGATACTGCTCCTCTTCAGAGATGCCCCTTATTACTGCCTCCCTGCTGGCTCAGAGCCCACCAAATGTATGATAGTCTCTTTAGACACAACAGGAGGAAATCTGTCTGAACACATATAAGTGTTTGCTGTATGAATAAATCTGGTTTCTATCTCATCAGAACTCTAAGGACTTCAAAGGATTCATTTCCAAATTAGAGTTGACATCACAGTAGGTCAAGAGATGGCACACCCTCTCACTTGTTTTCAGTAAAAACCCTTAATAAAAACACTTCTTACTCAGTTCCAAGTTCATCCTTCTTATAAAAACTCATATGGAGCTGGAGAAGATAGTTGGAAAATGTTCTGTTATATTTATAAATAATTATCAGTATTGTGTTGGGTCCTGCTGACTTCTCTGGTCTGTACCTAAGAGGGGGAGGGTGGATTAAGAAAAGAACAGGCTAGAGACAGAAGATAGATTCAGGAGAGCATCCTAGTGAATACTGGGATCCACCTTAAGTTTATTGCTCAAAATTCTCTATACCCCTACCAAAAAGGAGGAAAAGCCAGACTGGTCTCAAATTCACAGAGATCCGCCTGCCTCTGCCTCCTGAGTGCTAGGACTAAAGGTGTGTGCCACCACCGACCAGCTACTTTCTTAATTCTCTAGACATTTAGTAAGTACACCTTAGATCAAACCTGTTATCTGGCCTTGAGATAGTAACTTTAGATCAAGTAGTCTGTTATCTAGGTAAGACATCCACACCTCAGGCCAAACATCCTTCAGTAGCCACACCTGAAAACTTTCGGTCTTAGCCCTTTAAACTTGAAAGACCAAGGATAGTTTTTAACTCTCTGATCTTAAGACGTTATGGAGCAGACTGTGGATCTGATGATTCCTCCTCCTCCGTTTAATTAATAAATGTCTGTGCTTCTGCCACAGGACAGACAACTGTTTGTGTTTTAACCTTCCAGACTTACCTGCCATTGGTACACACATTCCTCCATGCATTCCTTGTCATGGGAGCAAAAATATTCTTACCCATATTTGACTCCAGCCCATGTTTTTAAAAGACAAAGTGCATATCTTAATGCCATGCACCTCTGAGCCAACTTTCCATCGAGAGTTCCCCCTTTTCATTTGTGATTTTGTTAATTAGCATGATCTCTCTCTCTGCCTTTTGGTTAGCTTGGATAGAAATTGGTCTATCTTGTTGACTTACTCAAAGAACCAACTCTTTGTTTCATTGAGTCTTTGTAACATTTTTCTAGTTTCTACTTTATTGATTTCAGCCCTCAGTTTGATTATTTCCTGGCGTCTACTCCTCCTTGGTGAGTTTGCCTCTTTTTGCTCTAGAGCTTTCAGTTGTTCTATCAATTCTCTAGTGTGACTTTTCTCCACTTTCTTCAAGTGGCCACATAGTGCTATGAACTTTCCTCTTAGCACTGCATTCAGAGTGTCCCATAAGTTTGGGTATGTTAGGCTTCTCTGTGGTGCTGTGCAGATCTCAGCAGATGGTACCAACATCTGTTTTCAGTTGGTGATGTGTAATGCCCTGCCTTTGTCTTTCAAGTCACCTTTGAGATTTAAACACTTAACTCTTTGATTACACCTGAGTCTGCGTTGTGGCAAGCTGTAATACTTTGGTGGGTTCCTGGCAACAGAAATTGTCCGCTGTCATCAAGTGGTTCTAAGTTGAAAAAATACTAAAAAGAGAAGATTGTATTTTAAGATTGATGAAAGATGGTTTGTTTTCTTCATATGTGAATTCCAGTAGTCATTATCAATATTGTCTTTGAGGATGATTTATGACTGTCCTGTTCTAATTATTAATTCCAGAAAATATCCGGATAACACCTATGGATGCTCGCTGGGTCGGTGCCTGGTGGCTCAGTTTCATTGTGTCTGGACTATTTTCCATTATTTCTTCTATACCCTTCTTTTTTCTGCCCAAAATTCCAAACACATCACAGAGAGAAAGGAAAAATTCAGCATCTCTGAATGTACTCAAGACAGATGAAGAAAAGAATCACATGGCTCATTTGACCAAACAGGAGGAAAAAGCCCCTATCAACATGAAGGGTAAGGATTTCACAGTCAATGTGAAGATGTCAATCCCACTGAAAGCTAAGAATATTTCAAAACAAAGTGTACAAATCATCTGTCTTGTTTTCTTCTGTACTAAGCTTTGCTTAACTCATTCTAAACTTCCTATTAAAATTAGTGTTTCCTGACTTAGTCACTTTTCTATTGCTATGAATAGACACCATGACAGAGGCAACTTATAAAAGAAAGAATTTAATTTGTGGGCTCATGGTTCCAGGGGGATAGAGTCCATCACCATCATGACAGAGAGCATGACAGCAGGCAGTCAGGTGTGGTCCTAGGACAGTAGCTGAGAACTTGCATCTTGATTCTCAAGCATCAAACAAAGAGAGATACAGAGAGCTAACTGGGAGTGCATGGGCCTTGGAAAACTCATAGCCCACCCCAGGTGATGCACCTCTTTCAACAAGGCCATACCCTCTATCCTTCCAAAACAGTTCCAGCAATTGTAAATGAAGAGTTTGACCAAGAACCTCTAGAGGCTGTTATCATTCGAACAATCACATTCCTGATACAAACTGAATAGATTATATTTGTGACTTTCAACATATAGAAAATAAAGGTAGGCAGGTGGCTCAGTTCACAGAAGCTTTTGCTGGCAAGTATGAGGTCCTGAGTTAGAATCCCCAGCATCCACATAAAGAACCAAGTATGTCTGGTGTGCCTATAAGCCCATCGTAATAGGGACAGGGTAGAATCAACAGAATTGCATGGGCTCCTGGGCCATTATGCTAGAGTCAGCTTAGCGACAGACCTTGCCTCAAAGGAATAAGGTGGGGTGATAGAGAAGGACACTCACTCCTTGTCCTCTGATCTCCCTGAGCACAGAGCACAAAACAGTCAGGCCAACCTTTGTGCAGATGTGTGTGTGTGTGTGTGTGTGTGTGTGGTGTGCATGTACACACATGTATACTCATATAACACAAGGACACACACCAAATAGATAAAAGAAAACAATCACATAAACAATTATGTTTATTTTTGTTGTTGTTTGTTTGCTTTGATTTTGAGATAGGGTTTCTCTATGCAACATCCCTAGCTGTCCTGGAACTTTCTTTGTAGAACAGAGTGGCCTTGAACTCTCAGAGATCTGCCTGCCTCTGCTTCCCGAATGCTGGGATTAAACACAAGAACAAGAAGGTATATATTTCTTTCAAATGTTTTTAAACAAGAAGGTGTGTATTCCTTTCAAATGATCTATCTATCTATCTATCTATCTATCTATCTATCTACCTATCTATAGCATGAAAAGTAAAAGACCCAGAGAATATTTGGATTCAAACTTCAAGCTGAATATCAGAAAAGCAAAGCAACCCATCACTAGCTCTCACCTCTAGCTCAGGCTGAAAACACTGAGTCACTCATGAGCTCTTCACCAAGTCTCAAACTGCTGCTTCTCCTCAGCAGGACTGGAGAATGAATGCCTCTACTGAGACCTTGCTTCTGTCTTACATACTTCCCTAATGTTGGGATTAAAGGTGTGAGCTATAATTAATTCTCTTTTAAACTGATTCACTCTTGTGTAGATCTGAGTGACCTTGGACTCACAGAGATCCATCTAGCTCTTAATCCTGAGTCCTAGGGTTAAAGGTGTGCACCACCACCTCCTAGCTTCTGACTACTGGGATTAAAGGTGTGTGCCTGGCTTCTGTGGTTTGTTGCTGACTTTACTTTCTGAATACTCTGGCAAACTTTAATAAATATATATATATATATATATATATATATATATATATATATTTCATTATGGATCAAATTCCAGGGCATTTCACTAGTTAAATATTCTTACACTGAATTATATATATAATAATTTCATTTCAAAATTTAGTCTACAGCATCAGTGAGTGTTAAAGTGTTAAAATATTCAAATCCTTCATTTGTTTCACAAACCATAGTAAGCTTTTGTTGGCATGTCTGTGAGGGATTGTTGAGGGTTAACTGAGATGGGAAGATCCCCTCCCAAATGAGGACAGAACCATTCAACAGGCTAGGGTTTTAACCTGAATCAAAAAGAGAAAGCAAGCCGAGTATGCCTATCTATGCTTCCTGACTTTGGGTGCAGTATGATGAACTAACTACCCCAACTCATATCATTGTGACTGACCGACCCGTGGTAATGTTGTGTACCCTTAAACTGAGAGCCCCAATATACCCTTTCTGTCTTGACTTACTTTTGTCAGGGTATTTTGTCACAATAACAACACAAGTACCTGTGACAAAAACATAACCCTCTGGCACCCTTTTCAAGTTGATTTTGGAATTAAAGAACAGTTCTCAGATATGTTCCAAGACGTTCCTCTTCTTAGTCCTTTTGCTTCTATGTTTGATTGCTTTCTTCTCTCCATCAGCCCAGCCCAAGAACAACTCTGTACTTCATCCATCTCTGTTGATTAGTTTCTAATAGAGGATCAAGATTAGTGGCTTGATACTGGCCACGATATGAGAATTATCACCATTTTTTAAACTATGAAAATTGGGAAATACTAGAGAACCAAGTGTGATTGATTTTCCAAGATTAAGTTGTTAGAAAACAAAAATAATGGTATTATTTTGTTGTTATTTCTGGTAAAAGAATTTAATTCAGAGTTTTGTGCATTCTAGGTAAGGGTTCTACAGCCCCAAGGTTTTGAAACTTAGCATAGATAGTAAAAAGAGCATGTTGGGTGGGGGCTGCTGAGATAGATTAAGAGCACTTGCTGCTTTTGCACAGGTCCCAAATTAGCTTCTCAGCACACTCATTCTGGTTCATAACTGTCTGTAAAAAGGACTCCAATGCCCTTTTCATACATAAACACATATACTCTCACATATGCAAAATGTTTTTTCTTTAAAGTGTATCAAGAAATTTTAAACCAGGTATAGTGACATGTGGCTCAAATCCCAGCATGTGGAGGGCATAGGTGAGTTTCTTAATATTCCTGTGTTAATGTGGCCTGGCACTCATAATTATCCTCTGCTTCTTGTTCCTTTATTTCATGGCATGTGGCTTCAGTGCTGCCATAATTTCTGGGGCAGTGTCTTATAGAAAAAGCTGTATTCCACGGAACAAAGTATTGGAATCCTCACAGTAAATTTTTGCTTACAATTTTTGAACATCAGTGCTCCTATTCCTGTGGTCACAGATTATTTAAATTTCTGTTTAACAAATTGCTTCATTGATGTAAAAATCACATTATTACATGTTGACAGACAGGAAACATCGCATTCAAGGTTCATATTTCAGAATATCTCCTGGCACCCAATTCACAACCAAATATTTTTTGAATGAACAGGTAATTGGATTGATAGGTATGGAAGACTAAGAGTGTGAAGAACTGCCAAATATCCATTGGCCAAAGCAAATCACAAAACAGAAGAGACAAAAAAATAAGTTTTGACAGAAAAATTTACAAAATACATGGTACGAGTATGAAAATTACTGGAGAAATACAGTCACAAATCTGTTTAGAACAAGACTTAAGAGCACAACTCTAACTTCCTTTTCTACGTATTTATAATTTGAAATTACACATATAATAAGTAGATTGGGATGGAAGTAATACTTAAATTGTAATACAATTTTTTTCACTCTTGTTATTTCAAGGTTTCCTCTGCTCTCTGAAAAGCATCCTTACCAACAAGTTATATGTTATATTCGTGGTCCTGACATTGCTACATCTCAGCAGCTTTATTGGCTCCTTTACTTACATCTTCAAGTTTGTAGAGCAACAGTTTAGCAAGTCGGCATCACAGTCTACCTTGGCATTAGGTAAGACAGACTCTTTCCTAGTTTGCTTCGTAGATTGTGTAGAAACTGATGGTATAGTTAAGCAGAAGGTTTTTATTCTAGATACGGGATAGGACAGACAGGGGCATCTGGAAGAGTGCAGAGAAGAGGGGAAAGCAGACTGAACATGGCCAGGTGACTGGATTTGGCCAGAGCTATCTCAAAAACGCCAGGGGATAAAGCGAATAGGAAACATAGTGAGAGAAACAGGGAAACATCGTAGAGACAAAGGAAGAGGAGGGATGAACCAGAAGGTGTAAGGAGATATCAAAAACAAGAAGCATGAGTAGCTTGGTGAGGGCAGACCACTTGCCGGAGGAAGTTTAGGGTGGGGGATGAGGTGAAAATGACTAGAACTAACTAGCATGGGCTTTGAAATGTGTAAAAGAAGGTTGTGATACTGAGGGAGCAAGTTGGCCAGTAGGACCTTGGTATGCTAATAAGCACCACATGTAGCCAACCATATGTCCCCTTTGTCACTGATAAAGGAAATGACTCCTCTTCATATGGGGGAACTGGCACAAGCTTCCTCAGAAAGCTGGCTTTTATCTAATCACTAGAAAACCTCCTATAATCCAGGTTGAGTCTATTTCTGAACGCTTGGAATGACTTTTGGAGTTCAGTGAATTAAAGTCAGGTCCCTTTGGACCTGACAGGTAGTGGACTACCAAAGCTGACCCCTAGATACTAGTACCCACATCCACACACACACATACACATAAACAAATAATGAAATAATTCCAATCTTTATAAAAGACTTTAGATGGTGAAGGTTAAATATAGTGGGGTGTCCCTCATAAAGTTTACTTGTTCAAAGGCAACATCTGACTTGTGTTACTGATAAATGAAGAATGGAGACATTGTTTTTGATTTTTCCATATAGGGCATGATCTCCCATCTCCATTCTGATCATTCATTTCTACATAAGAAACAAGAAAGTCAAAGGCTTATATAGACACACTGTGTTTCATATGTAAAGACCACAGGTAAACCTTACATATGTAATGACAACATTTTTCTCTTTTTTTTTACAGGAATTATAACCATACCTATTATGGCAGTCGGGATGTTTTTAGGAGGATATATCATTAAAAGATTCAAACTGACCCTGGTTGGAATTACCAAGTTTGCACTGTTCACCTCTTTTGTATCCTGTGTCTTTCAGATATTAGATTTTGCTCTAATCTGTGAAAACAACTCATTTGCTGGCCTAACCATGACCTACGATGGGTTTGTATAAATCATTTTATCAACAGAATGTGTTGACTCCACTTGGAAGACTGTGTGTGAGAAAAATAGGCCTGAAAACAGCTTCCACTAAAGTTTAGACAATTTGTAAGAATTTAGTTAGTTAAAAAGTAAGTTAATAAGAATTATAATTTTTAAATTCCCCAAACAATCACTTTTTGAGATCTCAAAATATCAGTTTTTTTATTTCTCTTTTAAAGAAAAACTAGGTGGGCTGGGTGTTGGTGGCAGACGCCTATAATCCCAGCTCTCAGGAGGCAGAGGCAGGCAGATCTCTGTGAGTTCGAGGCCAGCCTGGTCTCCAGAGCAAGTGCCAGGATAGGCTCCAAAGCTACACAGAGAAACCCTGTCTTGAAAAAAAAAATTGAAGAAAGAAAGAAAGAAACAAACAAACAAAAACTAGGTGGTGGTGATCATGACATTTTTAGAGTATTTGCAATGTGTCATGAGTACTTTTGTTCCCCCTTGAACAGATACATAGTTTTTACAGCCAGCAATGCCAGTACATTACCTCACTGGCTCTCTCGGACTCAGATTATATTTTTAGATCCCCAAACTCTTGGTCTTGCCAATGAATCTTGGTTAGGTTGTGAGTGTAGATTTAGGTAACTTTCATAGCCATGGCTGGACAAATTTTACCTAGAGTTCATTTTTACCTGTCCAAGAGACCAGTTTCTCACACCAAACTGGATTTTCGTGATCTATGAACTGCCAGTATTACTGTCCCCATTAGAACTAGATATTTGGATATTCCAAGTGTAACTTACTGAACTTTTGTTTTTCCACTGTTACCACATAACAAAAAGTATTCTTGATACTTTAGCTACCCTAAGGCCATGACCTGGGGTTTCCTGTGTAGCTTATTATCTAACGTTTATCTAGCAACCTAAGTAGGCTCACACACCAGTAACGCTCACAGATTTTTTCATCAGTTCCCTCTTGGATGAGAGTTTTCAGAGTTGTTAACATTTTTCTTCCTCTCTATTCCCTTCCCTTACCCTAAGCTCATTTTCCTCCCCTCTGGACTGGCTTCCTCATTTCCTAATCCTTTCCCCTTGACACCCTTCTCTTCCTCCTCCTCCTCTTTCCCTTCTTCTATATTACTTTCACTCTTTCTTTACTTCCATCTGTCTTTCCTACTCCATCTCTATCTCTCTCTGAAATGTCTCTCATCATATATCTCCAGAATGAACTCAGTGGACTCTCACATAGATGTACCACTTTCATATTGCAATTCAGACTGCAGTTGTGATGAAAATCAATGGGAACCCATCTGTGGGGAAAATGGAGTAACATACATCTCACCTTGTCTGGCAGGATGCAAGTCTTCTAGTGGTGATAAGAACATTAACAGTACAGTGAGTATAAGTATTTATTTTCTTACCTTCCTTTTGTATAACTGCACTATAGATTTTACAGTTACTTACCAAATCTATCTAGAGCTAAGATCTCCATAGAAAGATACAAGAATAGGTTCCTATATGATATTCAGCTGTGAAGGCTGGGAGATTAGCAAATCTCCACATGAAATCTTCCTTGGAATACCATTAAATTCTTTTGTTCCTTGAATTCTAATATGAGATTAATTCACTTTCAGTTATTGATTTTCAAGAGTGAGAACATGGCCTTTTGGAACCTGGATATATTTAGGGTTTCTGAAAGCACTCTTCTGACTCAAAGCATCTAACTCTCATCTGTGATGGGGGATGTCTCTCTTGTTGGTTAATGAATAAAATACTGTTGTCTAATAGGGAAGCGAGATAGGCAGGGCTAGGAGAGAAGGAGGATTCTGGGAAATGTAGTAAGGAGCGTCGCCATGTGATCCCAGGAAGAGAGGATGCATAAGGCCGGCGTCCTCGGTAAGATAAGTCCCTATAGAAATATATAGATTAGTAGTTACAGTTGATAATTAAGACTGAGCCAGCAAATAAGAAAGCCTAGTCATTGGCCAGCAGCACTGTAACTAATATAAGACTCTGTGTGTTATTTGGGGGCTCTAAAGTGGGTTGCAGAACCCAGGCAGCTGGCAGAAAGAGTTATCGTTATACAACTGTGAGAATTACTTAAACCTCAGATGCTACAGAAGAGACTTAAATCAACACAGAGACAAAATACACAGTGTTCTGCAGACTTTTACAAATCTAACTACAGGCTCTCTTCCCTTTTGATTCTCTGAGACACAGTGCTGTCTTCAGATCTCACTTGTCAGTTCTGAATTCCCTCCAAGCTAGCACTTCTACCCAGATAATCTAATACCCCTTTAACATATGCCTAGTGTATCCTATACCATGTTACTTTTTCTTTCATTCAAAGCATCTCTTTCCTATGAACTATGAGTTACTCCCAAATATTAAAATCATTTATGGTATCACACATACTGCTAATTTATTCCAAATCTCAGAAAGATGGGCAATTGTGTTCTTTTACCTTTCTCTAATTCAAACATCGGATATACAACCAGTTGTGATTTTATGTTTTGAGACAGGATCTTGGTATGTAGCCAGGGTTATCATTATGCACAGGGTCCTCTTGCCTCAGCTTCTGAACTGCTAGAAATACAGACATGTACTGCCATGTTTGGCATAATTTTTGCTTCTGAAACACCCTGTGAGGCTCAACTCATTTGTGTAGGTGGTTCTTATTTCAGATTGTGGCCCCAGTGAAACTGTCAAATGCCTTTAATCTCTGGGCAACCCTTCCACAAGGCATGTGACTGACACACATCAGGTGTTTTTAAATGGTGTAAGTAAAGGTAGTACAGAACATAAAAGTGAGAGAAAGGCAACTATGGAAGAGAAATCTTCTGAATGAAGAAACTATGAACAGTTTCAAACACTTTTCTTCAATTCTTACATAACTTTGATGCTGGAAAGGAACTATTAGGAGCAAATTAAATTTTCTTGTCCAAAAATAAATACAGAGGACTCTATTGTCTTTCAGTTAGTAAACAACTGTGTTTTTAGAAGTTTTTAAACCATAAACACTTTTTCAAGACTGGAAGGAACTTTTCAAAAATATAATGGAAAGTATTTATAACATTTTTCATGTTTTGCAAACACATTCTGTAACATTTCAAATCTGTCTTTTAGGTATTCTATGACTGCAGTTGTATCAGAGACTCTGGTTTCCAGACCAGCAATCACTCAGCCCATTTGGGTGAATGCCGACAAAAGAAGTGCCAAAAAAACTATTACTTTTATATAGCTTTTCAAGTCATAAATTCTTTCTTTACTGCAATGGGAAGCACATCTTTTATCTTGATTTTGTTGAAGTGAGTATACTTTTTTGTGCATGTGTATGCATTTCTGGGTTTTTTATTTTTGGTGCACATTGGTAGAGGTATATGCCTGGGGATCAGTTTACAGCTCAGATAATTACCTCTGTCATCAGTCTTCAAGTAACTTCTACTCTCACCATGGCAATCAGGTAAGCTTCCTCTGAACTTTTAAAATCCTGCTGGTCACCTCTCCGATCACAGATGGGAACCCAAACTCAGATTCTTAAATTTGTAAGGCAAGAGATTTACTGACTGAGCCTCTGTCCAGTCTGAGAATGAATTGTTATGACATCTGTATAAGTCATGTATGCTAGACTATAAATATACTTACTGATGACTAATGTCTTATGTTTCATACTTAAGCTCATATATTGTCCCATTTTAATTACCCAAGATCACATGTTCTCATAATTATTTTTATTAGTACAACACCATAAGTAATAACAATTTTGCATATGCTTAGTTCATTAGGAAATCTAGATTTCATAAACTCTCATCTTGCTGAGACACTTAAAATATAGAATTACTGGCAACTGTCCCAATTTTAAGAGTGTGTTTTTGATTTCATAAGAACTTTTGTGATCTGTTCCATTATGTCCTGAGAATCATTTAGTGATCTTAATGAAACAAACCCTTTTCAAAATGTGATAAGCTTAAACCTCAGTCAATAATAACATTTTCCATACTGAAAGATGGATTATCAGTTAAAATCACTTGCTGCTTTTTCAGAGAACCTTATTTCAGGGCTCAGAATCCACCTCTACTGACCCACAACCATGTATAACTCCAGCTCAATTGGCTGACATTTATCCTCTGGACTCCAAGGTTACCCAAACACACCTGGAGCACACCCATGGAGAGATATGTACAAATAAATAAATGGAAACATACGATTTAAAAATTTTTAAATAATAATAATTTCAAAGTTTTAATTTTTGTACAGAATCACTTTTGATCCACTTTTCCATAATAGACCATAGGTAGGTGAAAAGAGTTGATTGATTCACTAAAAAGACAAATATTTAGGTTAGATACTGTGAAGAATATCACAAGGTATGTTAACAGACAAGTTGTTGTAGCCATACAGCTCAGAGTACAACAGAAAAGACCATCAAGAAACAAATTATCCCTAAAATAAGCACATTAATTCTAAAATGGCCCTAACACTATAAAGCAAGTGTTGCTGTGAAGATGAGGGATAAGGAACCTAGTTTAAGATGAGCCAGAAACTGTGATCATCTCAAAGTTACATTTTATAAAAAAGGTATAGTTTGACCACATGATCTAAAAAAGGGGCCAGATGAAGACTTTAGGAGGGAAATGGGTTCAGGTTTTAAACCCTGACAAGTGAGATGGGAGGGTTGGGAAGGGGACAGGTAACACAAGCTCCATTTGACCAAGTTCATCGCTAATCCTAAAACTAAACACATGTATAATTTTTGTGTGGATCTTTAAAAATGTATTTATCCAAGTATGGCGATCTGGGTTAATATCTATTTATATTTTTGAATGATGTGTTGATTGAAATTCCCTAAAGGCCAAGAGGAAGAAAAAAAGGAGGTTTGAATTCCTGTTGAAATGAGGAGAGACATTGAGATAGCATCTACACTTATTTAAACTCTATTCTGACCCTGTATTAAGGTGTTCCACAGGGTCAGCTCACCTAAAATATGATGTAGTATACTTAGGGGCGCATTCCTTATTTACCAAAGATTCACTGTGTTGCACAAAGTCTCCTCTAAACTCATAGACCTATGAACAAAGGTATTAATCTCAAGTCCCCCCCAAAATGGCTGTTTTAGAGCTTTTAGAACTTAAATTTAGTGATATGGATCAGACAGGAAATGGAGAGAGCTTTATCTTTCACAAACAGTAAGATTGGCATCTCCCTCCTGAGCTGCCTACTGGATTAGCATTCTTGTATCTCACTTAAACGTCATGAAAGAAAACAGCAGAGGATGAATTCAGATGTAATTTATTCTATCAAGTAGATGTTGCTCAGTAATGAAATAATTTAGAAACATATCTAACTTCTTGGGGTTCTTGTTTTCTTATTCTGAGGTGTTCACACTATGCTTGGGTGCTCCATATGAGAAGTGAGGTAGGAACTGCACTTCATGACAGATGCACGATTCTGTAATGGGGGCATCATTGCTCATACAAGCAAGCACGCACACCAGTGCGTGTTCTTGCAGCTAGAGTACAAGCTTGTGGCTAGGTGTGGGTATCCATGGTTTGAATGTGGGAGAGGATGTACCTGTCACACAGCTTCCATTCCCAATAAGTTGTTGGAAACATTAGTCCTGTCAGGAAAATCCTCCTCATTCTCCTGGAAGCTAAGCATTCTCCTGGGGGGTGACAACGCACGTGAATTATAAAAACCAATTCACCTCAAGTGTTTCTAGTATATAAGCCGAGTCCACCCTTTGAAGATCAGCGATGCTAAGGCCCAAGGCCTCAAACAGGAATGAATTAACATCCCTACCTTTTTCTAATCCCTCTTGAGAAATCTGACATTTGAGAAAGACATTTTTTTGTGTGTGAACAAGCCAAGTTCCCTTTCCTGCTAACTTCCCTTATCTCACTTACAGGATAAACAAAACACAATAAAAACCAAAAGTCCATCTTCTTGAATGTTAGGCCTGTTTTGCTGTCACTCGGATGCAATGTGCCCACCGCTGAGTTAAAACTGTGACACTGTCCTTCATCAACCATTCTGCATTGACTTTCTTTTCTAACATATAACTATGACATTTAAAATTTTATTATTCCTTTATTTTTGAGACAGAGTTTCACTATGTTGCCCTGGCTTGTCATACACCCTTCTGCTCAAGTTATCTTCCTGTTTTAGCTTCCATAATCCCTGGGTTTGAGAGGGAGCAATCAGATTTTGGAATAGCGTTTTTAAACCTCAGTAAGTGGTATCTTTCCTACAAAGATTAAGGATTGGTCACATATCAAGAAAACTGAGATTCGAAGTGATAATACATACTGGATCCTCACAATACATGATGTGAAGAACTGTTATCACTTAACAAACAAGGAAATGGAAGCAAGACAAGTTAAGTGGTTTCTTCTACTTGGCTGAATGACATACCTACTTAGCCCTCTGAATAAAAAAGAATCCAGTAGTATAAGGCAAGAGAAAATGTATCATTGATTCACTATTTTAGTAAAATATTTAAGCACAAGTTACATTTCACACACACATTATTCCACATCATTTCATTGCCCCCAATATGGATTAGATTTTTAACAGATGTAGGAGTGTCACAAGCTCAATAAACATGACAGTTGGAATTGCAGAAGTGACTTTGTAGATATAAGAACATGTTTCTTTTTTAGAAGCATGTTAAGATTTATTTTATATTTTACTTATGTGTATGTTTGTTTCTGTGTACAGGTACCTGTGTGTGAGCACAGGTGCCTGAAGAGGTCTGATGAGGGTGCTGCATTCCCTGGAGCTAAAGTTACAAGTGGTTGTGAGCTCTGCAGTGTGGGTGCTGGGAACTGAGAGCTGGTTTTCCACAGGAGAGCAAGGACTCTTAACTGCCTTTGCTGTTTCTCCAGCACTGAATGAGGGTTTTATTGAGCATGGTGATAACATTGTTCTCACCTTTAACATGACAAGTTATACAGGAGAGTCCAGAATACATAACTTTCTTGAGTCTTCTGGCTATATTAAGCAATTTGGGTACCACATTAGTAAACTTCTCTGTTAACATCAATAATAGAAACAGGAAGCAGAGTGTGTGCTGAGACCTATATCTAGATGTAAGCATCTGGTCTTTTCCCAGAGTCTGGGCCAAACAGGCCTTAGGAAATCAATGTCTTTGTAGACATAATAAACCTCACTACAGATATTCTCACAGCATTTTTTTACAACATAAAACATAAAAATGCAACCTGGTTTGGTTACTCACATCTGTAAGTTCAGCACTTTAGGAGGCTGGAGCAGGAGGGTTGCTGTGAGTTCGAGGCCAGCCTGGGCTACAGAGTCTCAAAAATAACTTAATTAAGTAAAAAGTTTGCTGGATCTCTTGAACTCATAGCACAGTGAATCAGTGAATTAGAGTAAATCTTATCTCCTAGAACTTTGAATGATACATTTATAACACATGGGTCATTCCCTTGGAGAGGGGGATTTCATCCAAACATAAAGAAAACTAACACCCACATGCATTTTAAGGTTAAAGTTAACTTAGAATTTTGAAGACATTTGAATGTTTCTTTGCTTTTATCTTATTGCAGGACCGTCCAACCTGAACTGAAATCACTTGCAATGGGTTTCCACGCACTGGTTATCCGTGCACTAGGTATGGTAAACATATCAATTTCAAGTAATACAGATCCATGCTAAGCTTAAAAACCCGAATATAAAAGTTGCAGTTTTAAGGAAAACTTAAAGATTTAAAAATCATTTCTATTTGTAGGATACAGAGAAACCCAAGTGACCTGAAAGGGAATTTAACTAGATAACGGCAAAGTTGAAGCTAGAGCAAGGAATCTTCCCGTCTGTAGGATGTTATCACAGAGGTTGGAGTCCCCAAAGTTCTTTCCCTTGCACTGAGGGGTGCTTCTTCCAGGCAGGCAGAGTGAAGGGCCATCTCCACACACGGCATTTTTAGGTAATGCATTCTGTGACTTGGAGGTGTTGGGAACTTGGTCAGTTTGAGTCTGTGTAAAGCAGAAACTAAGGCTGATGGGCTGGTTCTCAACTGCCTGGTTCTGGAGACTCCGCAGCCTTTATCAGCAACTCAGCATGCAAGAGCAAACACATCACCTTGGAGGAAGAGAACACTTTCACTAAACAAAACCTTGAGAAATTATAAGTTTTATTGCAAGATTAGAACCCTAAGTTCTATCATAGTTAGGAACTTTCTGTCATGATGTGTCCAATACATGTCTATGAGGAAAACACACAATAAACACCACACTTCTAATTCACAGACAAGTGTCTTTAGGACAATAAGACTGAACACTATGAAGCATCTTTACAGCATACAGAACTGAATAAGTCACCTGGAAAAAAGTTACTGGAAAACAGTAAATTCTAGCAATGAACAACACGGAGTTTCTTAGATGAAATATTTAATTCAGTAAGTCCATTAACACCAGTAACATCACAGGTGAATTATACATCACTGATGTATATATTTTTCATTTCTAAAACAAAGGCCCCAATTTTTTGAAACGTGAACTACTAACCCATTTCCTCAGGCCAGTTTTTCTTTGGCTACATTGGCCTTCATTATCAGTCCTTTGCTAACTACTGGCTCTGAGAAAAGTGGGAGGGAACAGGAGCTGCAGTGATTGATAGCTCATTCAGTGACTGATAGCACTTACTATTCTTAGAGGGTTCCATGCTCAGTGCCTATCACCATACCAAGTGGCTTGCAGTTGCCTGAAACTTGAGTTTCAGAGAACGGATGCCCTTTTCTGGTCTTTGTGGCATTGCACTAATAAGCACGCACAGATATATGTAGTATTGTTTTTACTCTTTGGCTCTTTAGGGGGCCTGCCATCCAGATCCTAAATAAATACATGGAGGCATATTATTATTTACAGCCTTAGGGTGGCTTATTTCTAGCAAGCTTTTCTTAATTTAATTGCCCCATCTGTATTTTTCCTCTGGGTTTTTTACTTTCCTTACTTCTATATATCTTACTTTCACTCTTACTCCGTGGCTGGCTGTGTGGCTGAGTGGATGGCCTCTTCTTTTATTGATTCTTAATATTTTTCCTCCCAGGATTTTCCTGCCATTTATTCTCGCTGCCTGCCAGCCCCACTTATCCTTTCCGGCAAAGCTAGTGAGCTTTCAGCTTTTTATTAGACCAACCAAATGTTTTAGATAGGCATAACAACAGGGAGTTAAACAACTGCAACATAAAAGAATGTAATACATCTTTGCATCATTAAACAAATGTTCCACAGCATAAACCAAATGTAACATGTCTTAAAATAATATTCTACAACATGTTCCCCTTTTTGTCTAAATAAAAATGAAAAGTTTTAACTTTAACATAGTAAAACTACATGCAACAAAATTTATCAATTAAGAATTAATTTACAATATTCAGCCCATTTGCATTTAGCAAATTCAGAATAAACATTCCACCATCTATCCCATCTTAGTGACTTTGAAGTTTTGTACCTACTTTACTTTCTATCAAAATTAAGGAAAACTGCAACTCTAACTACATACTCTGTAACTCCCTCAAAAGCCCCAGAAGCATATATTACCTGAGTAAAAAGGAAGTGTATTGCAAGAAACTTCCAAAACTATAGAAATGACAGAGACATTTGACTACCTGGATAGTCACCCAAAGTTCCTCTGCAACATTGGTGCTTCCATCATCAGCCCTCAGGCCTAGAATAGCTGGCAAACTTTACAGGGAAGCAGGAAAGCTGAAGGACCGTTCACCCTTGTATTGGTAAAGTTCATCAGTCCACTTCTTCCGTGTTCTGCAGAGTGTCTGTCAGAATCTTATGTGAAGCAGTAATATTGAAGGACTGTACTGCCTTGTTTTGGAAAAGTTCAGCAGTCACTTTTCCAAGAGTCCTGAATGTCCAATCTGCACAACATGCAGTCAAGGCAAAAGTCCCTTTTTGCCCAATTGGCTAATCTTGCCATGGTGACAGCAAACTCCCTAAGGAGTTTCTTTGATGCTCATCATCTCTGAAGTAAATTGTTGCTGCCAGGAGCAGATGTGTCTCATTGTCAAGAAAAACCTTATGTTAACAAAAACATTTTAAATGGCATATACTACAGATCTTTGGAGTGTTTGAAGACATTTATATATCTAAACACATCTCTATATGATCTTGAAAACATACCTAAAATATCTACATCTTTGATCCTTATAAATGACTATTAACCTATGTTTCTTGATTATCCTAAATAGTTTATACTAATAGCTTTCAAAAACTAGAATTTTTACCTTACATTTTAAAATGAACTACATAGGTGCAATACCTTAAACAAGAATAGAAACACACACACACACACACACACACACACACACACACACACACACACACACACAGTAACAATATAGAAACAAAATAATTTAAATTTGTATCAATATACTATATTCCCCTAAATGATAGCAAATATCCATAAGCCATCAAATAACCAAAGACCACCCAAACCCCCCAACTCTTGGTAATGTAGGTGTCATTTTCTCTAGACTATTTCCTGTTGTCTGTGGGCAAAAGCATTTTTTAGAGTCCCTGAGAAAAACTGAGATGATGGCCAAGTCCTGGGAAGACCAGAGGTAACCTTTGTTGATATCATGATACCATCTGTCAAGTTTTAAGAGGTATCCCTAGATCAAACCTGATCCATGTTATTCCTGAAGGAATCCACAGCCTCTCATCTCCTGTGTGAACAAAACTCCAAAACATTTTTAACTTCCATTTGACAAACAACTTTTTTTAACTTCTTTTTAAAAGTTAAGATAGCCCTAAAATATCTTGTTGGGTTCAATTTTGAAGTCCAGCTCATAATCAGATATCTCTCAGCAGCTGTCTTTTGCTTGTCAGCATCCAAAAATTTCAGAATCAATACAATGTTATACAGGATCCAGACTCCCTGTGTATTTTCCATCTATACAGTATGTGAAGAATTTAATTTTCAAACAACTTATTTCTTTCTGTGACTTTCTATACGCGTTTTCTTTTCTTTCTTTAGCCTACTCACATCGTAAAACCCTGGAACTTGTTTACAGTTGTTTTTATTTTCTGCCTGCATCTCTTTTACTACTTACTTTTAGCACTTTTGTCTGTATGAGCAAAAACCTGCTAAGCAATGAGACTAGGACCTCCATACATCTTTGGTAGCTGGCTTGGTTTGCTCCTTGGGTCAGGAAAGCCAAGCCTAAAGCATAACACTGGTAGGAGGTTTGTGACCAAGAAGTGCATTAAACCTTCCTAACTATTAAAGCTGGTACCTGTGTTGCCACAAGTGTTTTTTGTTTGTTTGTTTGTTTTTGTAAATAGAGTTCTTAATTTGACTAATAAAAACCAAGAGTTAGATATAGAAGAAAATGCTTAGATATCAGAGAGCAGGAACAAGCCACCACCACAACTTACCTCCTTAGTGTCTCAGCAGACAAGAGAGTGAGTTCCTGTTTCTGCTCACTTATATCCTCTCTCCACCTAGACATCTCCTTCCTGTCTGTCTGTACAGACCTCCAGACCTCTATGGTTAGCTGGTGGTAAACTCCATTCTATGGTCTCCAGAAAGGCTTTATTTGTACAGTCAAGATATCACCACATATCTCCTGTTTTGTCTAAAAATAAATAGGTTGTAACAATATCAGAAAAAACTATATACAATAAGTACATACAATATACACAGGCAATAAGTATATTAACAATGTCTAGTCCATTGGCATTTGACAAATTTCAAGAAAATACTCCATTATTATTTTTTCTTGATGGGTCCAAAGTCTTGTATTTAATTTACTTCCTATTCTAATTTCCATCGTCAAATTATCTTTTAATGTCTTTCAAACCTATTACACTTAACACATCTTTATTGAAGGAAAGCTATAACTATACTATCTAGTCTTCAACTCCCTCAGAGACCCAAGAAGGAAATATTTACTGAGGAAGCAGAAAGTCCAAGCAAAGGACTTCCAAAAAATGTCAGAAATGACAGAAATAGCTGGCTGCCTGGACAGTCACCCAAGTTTGCTTTACAATCTTGGGGCATCCATCTTTGGCCTATATCCACATCTGACAGATATTTCTATGAACTAGGATATTCTGAGGGACTGTCCTGCCTTGTCTTGGCAAGGTTTGCAGTCACTCTTTCTGGTGTCCTGTTTGTCCAATTTGGACAGCATACTCTCAGCAGTTGAGACAAGGGCATTTTCTTGTCCAATGGCTTACCTTTGCCCACAAAGAAAGGAAACTCCATGTTGAGGTTTTTAATGCCCATCATCTTTTCTAAGGTAGATTATTACTGCCAGAAGCAGACATGTCTCATTGTCCTAAAAGTAAAACCTATGTTATTAAGATATGTTAAATGCATATTCTGTAGAACTCAGAAGTGTTTGAAGATGTTCTGTCTTTCTAAAATATCTCTTTGACCTTACAAACATACCTAATGTGACTATGAATTCGAATGTAATAGTTGAATAATTGCTAAACTACATTTCCTTGTTATCCTATATAGTTGACAATAATAACTTTCAAGGAATAGAAATTTGTATTACATTGTTAAATGATCTGTATAAGTACAAGACCTTGATCAATATTAGAAATATGTGTTATGAGATTATCAGTAAGTCAAAAACAAAACATTAGGCAGATGATTATTAAAATAATGATAACAGGTATACTGAGCAATAAGCTTTCATTTAACTTACATTTGCTCAGGTTTTTATTAGTTTAATACAAAGGCCCTTTAATCAATTTATTATATTGTTCAAGGCAAGACATTTGAACTACACATTAGGATTTTAAAAGCAGTTGGTTTTGTTGTTCCTGATAACCTCTCTCTCTCTCTCTCTCTCTCTCTCTCTCTCTCTCTCTCTCTCTTTCTCTGTCTCTCTCTGTCTCTCTCTCTCTGACACACACACACACACACACACACACACACACACACACATGACTGCTCTGAATATTGGACTTCTTCAATAATTCGGTATAGTTTACTGTTCACAATCTGCAGTGTTTTGGAAACCATATATTAAACATGACCAAATTAGAGCTAGGTGATAAACTTTTTATAAATTATTTGGGAATGTCAGGTGTTTCCACAAGAAAACTGACATTAAACTATATGAAAACACAACAGGCTTAACAAACGTGTTGAAAAACCTCAAGTTGTAATTAAATTCAGTACTTTCTCAAACATGACCAAGAAAAGAGTTACAAGTATTAATGCCACATCAAGAAGAAGAAACTATTAAGGATCAGCTCCGGGCTACACAGTATCATTGCACTCCATTTATGTGCAAAATTCAGCATGTGCCAGCAATGGCAACAGCATCTTGCACTGAGGTTTTTCAAGAGGAACAGGAAACCGGCCAAGAACATCAGAAGAGGGAATTGGATCCCCTGCAACTCAAATTACAGGCAGTGACTTCCCTGCTATAGATGCCGGGAACAGAATACTGATATTTTCAAAAGCAGTAGGCACTCTAAACCATGGGCCCATCTCTCCAGCTTCCCTCTCTCCATCCTTTTAGTTTTCTAAAAATGAATAAGCTCCTTCCTCTATAGGATTTTGTTTTTGTTGTTGTTGTTGTTGTTTTCGAGATAGGGTTTCTCTGTGTAGCTTTGGAGCCTATCCTGGCACTCACTCTGGAGACCAGGCTGGCCTCAAACATGCAGAGAATCGCCTGCCTCTGCCTCCTGATTAAAGGCGTGCGCCACCAACACCTGGCCCTCTATAGGATTTTGGTAAGTGCTATTTCACTAGTCATAAAGTTAAAATTTTATTCCAATTATTCCAGATCATTCTGATTTAAAAAATGATGTAGGCATGTTTTACTAACAACACTCTTTTTCACTAACTAGGTTTCATCTAATTGGTGTTGTAAGAACAGAGTTTATAGACATGTAGAAATCTTTTTTTCTTATGTGTTTTGGAAGGGTAGGGGTAGACAAAAGACATTTATGATATTCTCTGGTATGATATTTTGAGAAATCTACTAATACTAATTGTTGCATATATTAAAACAAAAATAATGAACTTGTCCTAGAAAGTTTTCAATCGTTACCTTCTTCATAATGTATCAATGTGGTACACGTCCTAGATACAACTGAAGTGTGTATTTTGGGTTGATAGCTTTTCCTCTCATGTTGTAGGAGGAATTCTAGCTCCCATCTATTACGGGGCATTAATTGACAGAACATGCATGAAGTGGTCTGTCAGCGGCTGTGGAACACGAGGTGCTTGTAGGGTGTATAACGCTGCATGGTTTGGGTGAGTTGTCGTACATGTACTTCATTAATTGATTTTATCTTTTGACTATGCTAGTTGATAAGTAGTGTCACTTTCTTTTTTAGGTTTTATTTTAGTTTAGTTTAGTTTAGCTTTTGTTAATGTGTGTTTACCTACATGTATGTGTGTGCACCAGGTGTGTGCAGTGCCAGTAGAGGTCACATGTAGTTGGATTCTCTAGAACTGAAGTTAGAGATGTTTGTGAATGCTGGCTCACATCCACGTCCTAGCGCGTTCCCTGCAAGAGTAGTCAGTGCTCTTGATCCCTGAGTAATCTCTTTAGCCCTGCATGGCATTGTTTTCAATGTGGTAATAAATTAATAATGTTATCATTAAGCCACCCTTATTCACACTCAGTATTGTGTCAGGGAATCTTATTTTAATGCCAGTAGAAGTAATAGCAAATGTATATTTATACTTTTACCTTAAAGACAAAGATATGAAGGTTCAAGGATAATGAACAACTTGTCCAAAGTCATGCAGTTTGAAGTAAAAGAGATATATTTTTTACTCAATTATGGTTTTATCTCTAAAACCTCTGCTCATACCCCAAACATCATTGGCTTTGCATTCTTAAGCAGGGCATGCGGTGGGAAACAGGGTAAACATTCATGTTCTATTCATGGGGAGAGAAGACAACTTAATTGTAATTTGAAAGAACAAATTGAAACAACATTCTTTAGAAACGAGTAAATTGCAAATTTAAGTATTGATTAATTATAAAATAGATATTACTCAAAGTGGATTTTTTTAAAAAAATATCTATTTTGGATGCATGACTATATTTGTATAATGAATAACCCAACTCCTCAGAAGTGTAACAGAAAATGTTAAAGTATTTTAAAACTCTATATATAACAAAAAATTATTTTAGGTAACACCTAAAGACAAATTACAAATTGAAAGAAGAAACCGTTCTAATGATACAGTCACAAGGAAGTTTTCTAGATCTATTGAACTTGACAAAAGAGTAAAATACAAATGCATGATACAAAGATGCAGAGCCATAGAGGCTACCTTCCATTGCTAATGGATATACAAGGGTGCATATTTGTGTGCCTCTCTTATTCTAGTTCATAAGACACTGTCAGGCTGCTTTCCAAACCATCTTGCCACCAACAAATAAGAGTTCCTGTTGCAAATAGTATTGGTGACATGGTGGAGTTGGTATCGTGATGGTGCTGGTGTATGATGGTAGTGGTGACATGGTGGTGGTGTTGCCATGGTGGGTGGAAGAGTGTCATGTCTCCATTCGGGTAATCTCAACACTCTGACATATCAATGACAACGTTTGAAGACCATTCATTCTCTTCAAACCATGGTTATTATTTCTTCCCATTTTAAGTGTTTCTTGTTCTTTTCTTGAGAATTAGACATAAAGTATTCTGGCAAAGAGACTACTATAGTTTTTAGACTGGGAGGATGGCTTTCTGTAGTCTTATGCTTAAGTCTCCATCTCAGTGGTCCTGGATATCTGGATTGTGAAACCCAGATGCATTTCTTGGTACTTTTTCTCCTTTTATTGAGTGGGATGTGATGGCTTGGGGGAAGGGTCTGAATATTCCCCTCTTCCTTCAGAAAGTTAGAGTCAGCTTGAGTTTATTTTCTATGTCCTGCAAATTCTTTAGAACTGTCAAACTCTTTATGGCCTAATTAGAAAAAAAATCCCTGGAAACTGTTTGTTTTATGCTTTTATAATTTAATGTTTTTACATATAATTTCACTTTTTGCCTTTAAGGTCTGCATATTGGAGATAAATACTATAAACTACACCACATAATATAAAATAATATTTGTCCCATTTTTCCCTAGAAATGTCTACTTGGGTTTGAACACATCTTTGAGAACTTCAGCACTTATTTTATATTTTGTATTAATTTATGCCATGAAGAAAAAAGATGAAAAGAAAGATAGCAAGACATTGGAAAATGATGGAAAAGTCAAAGATGAAGCAAATCCAGAAACCTTAAATAAAAATGGATACCATTCTGTACCTCCTGGTACACCATATAATGAAACACCTCTTTAAAGAAAGAAAAAGATACATTTGTTGGCATGCCTCCAATTTCCTGGTTCTCTCTTTGAAGATATCCACACTTTAGATACAATGAATAATGGATGATCTACAACTTTGTAATGAAAAGAAGCTACAAAGCAAAATGAATAAGAGCATCCTTGTAAGGATAGAGCAGTGCCGTTGAGGCTAGGATTGGAATACACTGATCTGTACAAATTTAAAGCATGAGAGTTAGTTTACAATAGAAAAGCAAGTATTCACTTAAACATTCATAACTCAATAAAACAAGTGGCTAGGATTTGCAGAGGGGCCAAGGAAGGAGATAAACTGGTTGACTATATAAGGAGAAGCACTGATAACTTTAAAAATAAAAGTTTGAATACTTCTATTCATGTCTGAAGTCTGCTGATGGACATCATGGCAAAGCATCCTCGGTTTCCATTTTAACGTGTATATTTTGCAGATCAATTCATTTGTAATTGTGTTTCAAGCACATTCATCATCTTTGTACATGCTCTTACAGTATTGAGGAATAAAACAGAGATATTAAAAGATTACAAGCCATGATTTTCAGAAAGCCTAACATAGATTGATTTTAAGAGCCATGGAAATGTTTGGAAATCTCCACATTGGCTGAAGAAAGCAAAGACCACCGAATAAATGAGCCTTCGCTTCTCCTGTCAGCTCTCTGAGATGAAAGTATGCCAGACAAAATGTGTGTTATAGGACACCAGAGTTTACCATTTACTGCTGCTGTATCTGTCTGCTTTTTTTTTTGGATGTAATAAATATATATATATATATATATATATATATATATATATATATTCATGTAAATAATCACTGAAATGAAGATATGAAGTACAGTGAATAAAATAAAATCTTGGGATATTGTATTTTTTAGTGAGATTGGATCTAGTATAATAGGTGGTAGAGGTTGTACTTGCTTTATTGTCATATGTTAAAACATTTTTTGCATTAAAATTGACTATTACTTCAATATGGGAAACAGAAACATAGTGAACATGAGTTGGGGCCAGAATATAAAACCTCAAAGTTCTCTCCCAGTGATATATGCCCTCCAGTAAGTCTCCAACTCCAACAAGTTCCATAAAATCCTGAATAATACCCACCATTGGATTCCAAATGTCCAAATAAATAAAGTATGGGAAATAATATTTAAGCAAACTTTCATATAAGCACATATGTGTGTGTGCTCATATTTTATACATATGTGATAAACAATAGAGCTGCCCCAGAGATCCAGAGATTTTGATTCAAAACATCTCTTACATAGTCTGATAATCCATTATGTGACAGGAGATTTTAGCAGACGCCAAAGTCTTGCAACATGAATCTTGCTAGTAGGTGGGAACTGCAAGTTAAATGTAGTAACCCATCTTTCCACCATGGGACTGAGAACAGATTTCCTTATCACACACAGAAATCTGAGGGAAAACCCACCAGTTAGGTCAGGGAGCATTGTCCTTTTCCAGGAAAAACAAAATATATTTTGTTTGTTTGTTTGCTTACTTGCTTCTTGTTTTTTATTTGTTTGCTTAGCTCAAGGACAATTTTCTATAATTAAAAAAAAAACGGGGCAGGAAGGCTGTAAATCTCAGTGGCTGTCTGAAGAAGGAAGATGGGGGAGAGGAAGAGATAAACATGGTGTTTAAAAGTAGCCACGTGGGGTCAGAGAGATGTTTGGGAGCCTTCAGAAAGAAAGGATGAAATGGCCCAGCCTGTTCTTGAACGTGGAACACACAGCAAGACTCTCATAGTTCACTTTCTGCTGCTGTGATAAAACACTAACCAAAAGTAACTTGGGAAAGAAACAGTTTGTTTCAGCCTCTAAGCCACAGCCCATAACTGAGGGTATTCATGGCAGGAACTCCAGGCTGAAATCTAGAAGCAGGAACTGAAGCAGAGCCCATGTGAGAACACTGATCTCCATGGCTTTCTCAGCCTGCTTTCTTGGATACCCCAGGACTACATGCCTTGCTGGAGCACCACCCACAATGGATTTGGCCCTCCCATGTCAATCATTAATCAAAAGAATGTTCTATATCTTGCCTAGTGTCCAATCTGATGGTGTCATTTTCTTGACTGAGATTCTATCTCCAAGATATCTCCAGCTAGTGTCAATTGACAGAAGTCTAACAAGGACAGGATGGTTATTAGACCCTCACCTGAATTTCCAGCCCCCCCCCCAGCACCACAGCTGTCTTCACTTCTGATTTGGTTTCAGAAAGTCTTGGGAAATGCTGGACTGCGTCGTGGGTGTCATGTTAACTAAAGGAAAGAATTCATCCATCATCTCTGGGAAACCATCAGTCTTTCTGGGCTGAACCTTTTGGTAACATGGCTCTTTTGAGGGACCCCATGTTCTGATAACCTTTCATCCATGCTCCCGTAAGAAAGCCCACTGAGCTCGCTGGTTCACCAAGATAGACAGGGGAATTGCTGCTTTAGTCTGTTACTGGTGTCTTATCTGGGGGAAATAGACATTTGTCCACATCGCCTCAGAAAAGTTATTCCCGTATGTCTGTCAAGAGTCCCGAGGCAGATGGCATCACAGTGGAGTGATTGAGTGAGGGAGAGATCACATGGTGAGGCAGGAAACTAGAGTAACCAAGCGTCCAGGCTTTGCTGTTTTTCTCAAAGTCCACTCTCCCTGGAAATAACTCGCTTCTCTAAAAAGAAACAGTGCCTTCTGAGAGCAGCAACCACAGTGCCTTGATGAAGCCACACCTTTCCACAGCACCACCTGGAAAATTAAGATATGAACACATATGACACCCACCCAACCCTCTCCATCCAAATACAATACTTCCCAACTAAGCAGAGGTTCAAGTTCCCTTATGTATCTAACTCTTTCAAGATTTTAGTGAGCTCCCTGCCCAATAATGTCTGCTCATTTGTAAGGTCAAGACAGGCTAAAACTTGCATTTATCCAGCAATTTTGCTATTGTAGTACATGACTGAGAAATTCTTACTGAAAGCAGAAGTCTCTTTTTATTACACTTTTGTAATGGATATCATGCCATTAATTTTTATGGATTTGAAGCTCAATTTGAAGTACTTGAGAATCTACTGTGATGACAAAGCCAAAATAACCCCTCCATTTTATGCTAGGAACCCATCTTGATATCTGCTGGCCACTTGCCTCTGACTCTAGTCCCTGGGAGAAAAAGTCCCAGACATTCTGACTCAGTGAACCCTTCTGCCCATACATGTATAGCTGTGACCATCTGCTTGTTATGCTATCGTGACTAACTGCTTGTTGGCTCATGTGTCTAGCTTATGCAGACATCCATGTTGCTTTGACTATCTAATCTTGGCAGAGCAAAACAGCTGGCGGCGTGGCTGTACAGACACAGAGTTTGTGGTTTTCACCTTTAAAAATACTCCTCACTCCTTTTCTCAAGCAATCTCAAGTCTGGCACAGACATTGTTGTCCTGCTAACAGTAATCAATTAATATTTTAATTGTAATTGGATTGAATCCATGGTACCTTCCCAGAGCTCAGGAACTCTACAACATGTGGAGGCCCTAGGGAGATCCCTAGAAGACCCCAGATACAGGGCCAGGGAGTCCAGAACAGGACCCAGTGATTTGGAAGTCAGGGGAGGCCAAGGCCACAGCTGCCACAAATCAGAGGTCATTAGTAGGGAGATAGTCCCTAGATGGATCAAGTCTAAGGCAGGCATTTCATACTCACCACAGGAAAAGTCCATCAAGATGAAGTCTCAATTCTAAACATCTATGCCCCAAATATGAAGGCACCCACATTTGTAAAAGAAACATTACTAAAGCTCAAACCACACATAAAACCACACACACTTACAGTAGGAGACTTCAACTCCACACTCTCACCACTAGACAGGACCACCAGACAGAAACTTAACAGAAGTCATGACCCAATTGGAAGTAACAGACATCTATAGAACATTCCATCCAACACAAAAGAATATACCTTCTTCTCAGCACCACATGGAACCTTCTCTAAAATTGACCACATACTCACCAACATACCAAACCTACACAGATACAAAAAAAAATTGGAATAACCCCCTGTATCTTATTAGACCACCATGCTTTAAAGTTAGAATTCAACAACAACACAAATTGCAGAAAACCTACAAACACATGGAAATTGAATAATGTGCAATTGCACCATTCCTGGGTCAAGGAAGAAATAAATAAAGAAGTTAAGGACTTTCTAGAATTCAGTGAGAATGAAGACACAACATACCCAAAGTTATCTGACACTTTGAAAGCAATGCCAAGAAGAAAGTTCATAGCACTAAGTGCCCACATGAAGAAACTGTCAAAATTAAATCAAGAACAGATAAGCAATTTAAACAGCCCTATAACCCCTAATGAAATAGAAGCAGTCATCAAAACTCTATCAATCCCCCCCCCCCAAAAAAGCCCAGGGTCAGATGGTTTCAGTGCAGAATTCTACCAGATTTTCAATGAAGAGCTAATACCAGTACTCCTCAAATTGTTCCACACAATAGCAGCAGAAGGGACATTGCCAAGCTCTTTTTACAAGGCTACAATTACCTTGGTACCCAAGCCACACAAAGACCCAATTAAACAAGAGAATTACAGACCAATCTCCCTCATGAACATCGATGCAAAAGTACTCAACAAAATACTGGCAAATCAAATGCAAAACACATCAGAGAAATGATCCACCATGATCAAATTGGCTTTATCCCAGGAATTCAGGGATAGTTCAACATATGAAAATCCATCAATGTAATCCACCATATAAGCAAACTGAAAAAGAAAAAACACATAATCATCTCACTAGATGCTGAAAAAGCCTTTGACAAAATCCAACATCCCTTCATGGTAAAGATCTCGGAGAGATCAGGAAAAACAGAACATACCTAACCATGATAAAAGCAATATACAACAGACCAACAGCCAACGTCAAACTAAATGTAGAGAAACTCAAAGCAATTCCTCTAAAATCAGGTACAAGACAAGACTGTCCACTC